TCGTATTTGTTGGCGCAGGGATGTTAAACTCAACAATGAGTTGTTAAACTCAACAATGAAAGGGGCCAAATTAAAAATTCTCCCCAAATCTGTGGGCCGGAGAAACAGTGTTTATTTATATGTATAGTTTTTAATCAGTGTCGTATTAAAACCCAAGCAGGCCACTGTTTATTCAGAGTACGAAAAAAACCTCCAGTAATAAAATACAGACACTTAGTAGCAGTAGATGTTAAAACATTACATGAATACTTAAAATATTGAAGGAACTGCATTTCTGACGTTAGGTGTTTATGTTGGCTGCAGCTGAGATGCAGTTAGTGTGTTTGGCGATATGACTGGTGTGGAGCTGTAACCGCTGCCCCATACATTGTTGTTGGGGTAGGAAAGTCAGAGCACGCTACGTTGCAGTGCTACGAGGCTGAAGTCAGCTCCTTGTTCGCGGCTTCTCTTCTATGGAGGACCAGGATTGCCAAATTAAAAAATAAATAAAATGTAAAAATAAATTGCTCAGTAAATTAATCAATAAATAAAAACTAAATAAAGTATATATTGCTTATTGTGATTGTAATTATGCACGTTTCCTTTTTCTGCAGTTATATATTTCTCAGTTCATTTATTTCTGTATTATTTTGTTTCATTAATGCCATTTTTATATATTTTTTCCATATCTATATTTTTAACACATTGTTCGTTTTATTCATTGATTCATGTATTCGTTTATTTATTTTTTCATTAATTTATTTATTTCTGTATTTCTTCGTTCATATGATAATGAGGGGGCGTGTTTTTCACGTTCAGGCTTAGCAATCAAGACCAGGATGAGAAGAGCTGATTAAACTGCTCTTTCACTCCATAAAGAGCCGCAGTGCCACGAACAGACAAACCTGCCGATAAATAACTCTGGATGTCTCCACAGGCAGTGAGTGAGAAAGGCATCCGAATGTCTGGGTGATCTGAAATTTGCAGAAAAAGACGATGAGTCTCCTCCTCCAAAGCTCTGAATACTACTGATCGACCTCTGAATCAGCAGATCAGCTAAATGGATCAAACTGTCCCCACAGCCTCCACAGGAAAGAGTGAATAATCCGGACCTGCATTTTCAGCCAGATCAGCCGAGACTCTCAGATCTCTGACTGTCTGCTGCTGTAAGCAGCCGTTACTCTACTGTCTCGTCTTCAGTTACCGCTGAGAGAGCAAGACATGAACAATCGATCTCCAGAATCTGACATCGATCAACCAATAGGAATATTAAGACGCTGTGACATCATTGCCTGACAGCCCCTTTATTAGCATAAGGACAAGGACATACAGAAATAAATAGAGAAATAAATATAGAAATTAATAGTTATGGAAATAAATTAATAAAAGAAAAATTAATAGAAAAACAAAAAAAAATGTTAATAAAGAAACATAAATAACAAAAAAAAAATTAGTGAGAAGGGTAATTACTAAATAGACATAAATAAATGCAGACATTCATTTATATAAGATTTTATACATTTATATATGAATTGTTATGTATATTTATTTATTTTTAGATTTATCATCATTATTCTTTGCAATTCTACTTCATATATGAATTTACTAAGTCATTTATTTTTAATTTGATTTATTTTTCATTTTGTCAGATCTGGTCCGTCATACCATTGTGAACATGAAGATTATGACTAAAAAAGGAATAAAATATTTAATTCTGTAAATATATGATTTTCCTTCAATTCATTTCCAAAGCTTCATTTCATGGCCAGTAGTTTAAAGTGTGAGACTGAAGAAAAAAATAAGGGTGAGTTTATAGATTAGATTTCAATCTAATCTAAATCTAAATTTAATGGGATTAAATTGAATAGTTTTTTCCAATCTCAGACGTACCTGGCAATATGGCACAATGAGTAAACGTGCGTAAAAGGAAATGGATAAGAAGCTGAAATTTCAGAGGGATTTATTTGCATGGAATGGAACCAATAACAGATCCTAAACACAGAAAAACGCTGTCCCTGTAAGGAAAACCTGGTTTAGCTTGGCCCGATCTGATTTAATACATTACAATAACCGGCAACATGGCTTATAGAGCAGTAATGCACACAATGAAGTGAACAGGAAGCTGAAGCATCGTGAAACGGTCTAATATTGATAGAAAATGAAAACACTTCTGCGGGCCTGATCTGTGTTTGATACACGGGTGTTAGACTGTGGATGTGCTTTCTGTACACAGTCAGCTCTGTCCGCTCTGAGGTGAAGCCACATCAGCCCTCCCTACACTGTCTTATAACGGCAGTAATGAGTCTTGAGGCAGTGTTTTAGAGTGGCTTTAGTACCTCATCCTCGTTAGTATAGTGGACAGTATCTCCGCCTGTCACGCGGAAGACCGGGGTTCGATTCCCCGACGGGGAGAGTCAAAACACTTTTCTTCATTTTTATCAACTTAAATCTTCAAGTTTTTCATCGGCAACAAACACGCTGAGAGACTCTGACCCGTGTCTGTGACGGGCCGTAATAACGGAGTGTCCGCTTCTCACCAACCTCACAAACTTCTGTTCACTGAGCCGCTGAGAAGCAGAGGCATTTAATTCGACTCGCCTCTGGGGGGCGCTAAGCAACTCCGTTTAAACACAGAGTCAACTTTATTCTTCTTTGAACACAGAAACACAAACTGGGATTAACTTTTATCAACATATTTGTTTCTATCGAATCGCTGCTGTCGGAACAAAACCTCACATCTCCATTTTTGTCGTTTTTCAGTTTTTAACTTAATTTGAAAACGCCTGTTGCTCTTTACAACGTGTGCAAATTTCATGACAAATGGACCAAAAAACGGCCCAAAATTACTTGAAAAGAAGTCTGGTTCCATTGACTTACATTAAAAGTAAAGTAGGGTTTTTCCTTCTCCTGTAAAGTTACCACTTTGGAGAAACAAAGTTTTTTTCCGACAACAGCGAAATACAAAACTTGGGGCAAGTAAATGGCAAAAAAACTATGAATATCATTTTCTTATTTTCGTCTGATTACTAGGGCTGTGAATCTGTAACATTTCAGCTAGATTTTCTTTAAATTCAGGGAACCAAAAAGCAAATATAACAAAATACTCTTTACACATGTAGGGTTTTCTTTCTATATAGCCTTATTAAGAACTAAGAAATGCATTCTCTCTACAGGATGCAGAAAAGTTAGTTCATGTATTTATTACTTCAAGGCTAGACTACTGTAATGCCCTGCTGGCTGGATGTCCCAGCAAAAGCCTTAACAAGCTTCAGCTAGTCCAGAACACTACAGCCAGAGTTCTTACTAGAACCAGAAAGTTCGACCATATCAGCCCAGTTCTATCAAACCTACACTGGTTACCAGTTAAATTTGGCATCGATTATAAAATTCTCTTACTGACTTATAAAGCTCTAAACGGACTCGCCCCTCAGTACCTGAGTGAACTTCTCTCCCATTATGAACCATCACGCCTACTTAGATCACAAGGTGCTGCTCACTATTAGTACCTAGAATTAATAAAGTTATGTCAGGGGGGAGAGCCTTCTCATACAAAGCCCCCCAGCTTTGGAATAGTCTTCCTGTTAATGTTCGGGACTCAGACACAGCCTCAGTGTTTAAGTCTAGGCTAAAAACTTACTTATTTAGTCAAGCCTTTGGTGATTAGTTTTCCCTGTCAGACCTGCCAGAGTCTCTGCTGCTCTGCTAACACTGTAATCTGTGATCAGTCACCCATTACAGAACTGACTCTCTGTGTGTTTTCCTTTCTTTCTTATCTTTGCCGAGTTGAACAGCTGCCCATCCTGTGCGTCTGATGCTGCTGCCTCTTCTGCCTTGATCGGGTGCCCACTGCTGCCAGCCCTCTGGACCGGCTTGACCACCATTGAGCTTCATGCTGTACAACGCCATGTAAACCTCACCCTCACATCCTGACCCCACTGATGCTGCTGCTGATGCTGCATGAACTAATCAAATTAATCATTTGCTCCACCTGTTACCCCGTTTTTGTACTATAATACTTTATACTAACAATGTTTACTATCCGGTGTCGGCCAGAGGAGGATGGGTTCCCCTTCTGAGTCTTGGTTCCTCTTAAGGTTTCTTTCTGTTTCTCTTAGGGAGGTTTTCCTTGCCACTGTTGCCATCGGTGACGCTCATGGGGGCTTGGACCCAGATTTCTTTCTGTAATGCTGATTTTTTTGTTTTGTAAAGCTGCTTTGTGACAACACCTGTTGTAAAAAGCGCTATATAAATAAACTTTGCTTGCTTGCTTATGACTTTTTCTATGTCCATCCATCTTCACAGGCAGCATTAGCTCATTTGAATTTGAATGTAACCTACATGCAAGACACGTGATGCTTGTACATTAAAGAAGCACATGTAAAAGTCAGTTTATGACCTCATACACATTGATGCAGAAGAGAGTTGTGATGCATCAAGAATCAATAATTTTTCCACTCCTTATTACCAAGTACAGGCTGTCCTGTCTTGCTCCAAATTTAAGCCTTAATCTGAGCTCAAAGACCTTTAAGTGTGATTTAGTGAGACAGACTACAGGCATTAAATAATTCAGTGCGCAGTAAAAGTGAGTAATAGTGCACTTGAAATTCACCATAAAGCTTTTATTGTTCTCAACATCTGCAGAACCATGTTATTTTTTATAGTTTGCTGCAGATGTTGCGTTTACTTCTTCTCACTTTAAAAATCATGAAAATCTGTCATCTGGCCAGGTGTTTAACACGTTACTGGTGAAGCAAAACCTTGTATCTACAAAACGGTAAAACTGGTCATAACTTATAACGATTTATGAAGATTTTAGTCTGCGTAACTTTTTAAACCATTTCTATTGGTCCATTCATCATGAAAGGTTCACACATTGTCAAGAACAGGTAGCATTTTCAGATTTTTGTCCTGACAGTGACAATTTTTGGGTTATAGTTTTTTTTTGTTTTGTTTTTTTTTTTACAGATATAACATTTAATTCTGTTTAAATCATACAATAAAGAACACAAACCATCCATAGATTCCAGAAATCCATGTAGTTTAATGATGTTGGTTGCTGGAATAATCAGTGTGTGGTTGTTGTACATGAGCATTGAATTTCAAAATCTCTCTCATTCGTAAACACACTCATTCCCAGTTTTAGAAACATTGCTGGTGCTGGAGCTGGAGCAGTCATCCATCATAAAGCAAAATTATACACTGATAATGAATATGAAGACTGTACAGAGACTACATTGAAGAAATCATTCATACAGCTTTTAGGCCAAAAGCACGTCCACTCTGGCTCAAGCTTTAATCATTACTTTTGTTTCAAAACACATTCAATTTTGCCCTTATTCAGTAAAAAGAGAGTGAAATTAAACTACTGGGTTTATTTCTTCAGTTTGTTTGAACACTCTACAAATTTAGACTTAAAACAATAATCATTCTCTTTTACTCTGGAAAATCCCTGATAATACTTTTATGGCTAGTTCCACAGGCAAACAATTCATGACAATGTTTTTCAATGAAATTACCACTAGTAGAGAAATGTATGTAGTGCCCACCATTTACCAAGAAACCCCCCTTTACTGACAAAAAGCACAAAACATCCTGACTTACTTCTGAAACTATTTGATGAAGCAAAATATATATATATATATATATCTTCATTTCTCGACCCCAAATGCCAAATGTTTTGAACCCATTAATATTGCTGTTTATTTTCATTTCAGAAACAGACCCCAAACGCTGCTCTGGGTTTTAGTGGGATTAAAGTATCTTATGCATCTTCTAAAACAGCTGCATTGCACTGCACTGGATAAATCGCTGACTTGCTCTCACCCCACAGGAATCAGAGGGCAGTCGGAGCTCCAGGGCTGTCTTACTCGTCCCAAGCGTCACCATACTTGTTCTTTTTAACTGATGAGACAACAGAAAACATTATAAAACATGTATATTGGACATGATAGTGTATGATTACGTCTCTACTATACCTAATATAAGTACTGCATCATTTTGTAGCTGGCGACATGCTCAAATAATAGACACTGGGGTATGTGTACAGGGACACTGTGTTTGTGTACAAAAAAAAAAAAATGCTTCTTTCACTCCCTATGAAAAAATAAATAATTACAGAACAGACACACTGTGCCCTGTACGTTTCCCCCCAATTTCACTGAAATATGAGCTCATTACATACATGGTACAGCACAACCTAACACTTCTGTGCATTTACTTGCTGTCACTAAGTTACATGAATGTAATCACACTTGACAGCATGCTGTGTGGTATTTTGGTGAGATTACCAGTTTTATAATGTCAATTAAATGCACACTTTACATGTAGCATATACAGTCATATGCAAACGTTTGAACACCGCCAGTCAAATGGCATGTTTTGTTGGTTTTCTAAGTGAAAAAATTCAACACATTACATTAAAGAGGACAAACCTAAACTCCCCATGTTAAATAAACAGTAGTTGTGTATTAAAACATGCAGAAGTTAACTAACTTTCGAAAATCAACAAAACGTCATTTGATACAGGGTGCCCAAACCTTTGCATACAACCGTATATAGCAATATTCCTATTTTGCCTACTTTACATCCTTGTAGCGATTCTTGAAACACATCTGATGCAGCTCATGAGAGAAGTTTCCTGTTTCAATACCGGTTTTAACAAGCCCCCGTCCACTTGGACTCATCATCTCTCCTCAGGGGAAGGAATCCCCAGCGTCAACTTATGGGCTGTTCCACTACTTTATTAGCTCAAGTGAAGGGTGTTAGAATAGCCCTCGGAGGGATGAGGGATCGAGAAATCATTGTAACCTTACACGTCTCCCTTTTCAAACCCAGAAAATTATGGCACCAAAGCTGTTTATAAGCTTTTTTATAGCAACAAACTACTTTATAACATTTCAAAATCATAACATTTGATTTACTGGGCTTTAGGTTGCAAACTACTCCATCTGCTAGCTGGCTGGTTAGCATGCTAACGGCTACACAGCTAACAAGAAAAGGGCCTTACACCACTTTTCTACTCCAAGATTATAGACAGACAACGCAATTACTCACACGCGTTATGAACGTTGTACTCAAACTTCTTAAAAAACGTTCGGTATTTGGAAAGTTTGCATGGCTAGCTGTTTAGCTCACTGAGGCTAACCTGCTGGGAGAACTGAAACAGGGCTTAGGAGTGCTGATCTATGATTGGATTCTTTAAAACCCTTCAGACAATATGTCTTATGTCTTAAGTGAAAAAAAATGATATCTGTATTTCTAAACGTTAAATGTTTAGTTTAATAGCTGCATTGATGTGGCGAAGAGTTTTCCACAGTAGTTTTTCATTACCTGTGGAATGTGACTTTCTCTAGAAAAGTGGTGCATGACTGAAACCAAAGCCAAAAATCTTTTAAACGTGAGAAATTTGATGATCATTTCCATTAAGCACCAGCTCACCTTCATTCTTTGGTGTCGGCACCTCAGCCTGTGGTTTCAGATGAGTTTCAGCCTTCTGCGTGAGGGTGACCTCATAGTTCTCCCTGTTTTTACTGCGCAGCTCCTCGTACAGTACTGTCCTTTTCTTAGGAGCATCATCTTCCTGGTAAGGTGGAGCTACAGGACGGCAAATTTGACCATCAATTTGAATGAGTCAGATAACTCAATATTCTGGAAAGAACAATGGAAATTGCAATAAACACATCCTTTATTCATGACGTGACACTGTCTTTCAAAAGATTGCCCTGTTGATCAAAAGTGATAGTTTGGGAAAAATTACTGACTTTTTTTTTAGGACTTTTACCCAGTTTTGTCCTCAATTTAGGCATGTTCAGTTCCAGTTGCTAGCTAGTCTCCCCCACTGCATGATTACACCAAGGCTGGGAAGCATGTGGTTCCACCTGGTTATCATTTCGAACTGCTGTTAATTGGACGTCACTGGACAGCTGAACACAGTGGGACAAGAATGCCAAGTGCGAGTTCTGTTACGTCACCTAGCAGATGCCCATGTTGGTGAGCATCATGCTGAGTGATATGGGGTGAAGGACATCGTACCCACCCAGAGAGAGTGAGGCAAATTATGGTCTCTTAGACTTCCCGGATGACTGTGGCATCCGCAGGAATAGAACACGCAATCTTCTGACAACATAGCCAGTGCTTAGGAAGACTGTGTAATTTATTTTGGCCAAATTATCATTTTAAAAGATACTTAATCACCACAATAACAAGGAAATTAATAGTAGTTTTACCTTGAGGGGCAACATCATCCCTTGAACTGTACGGCGCAGGCTCACTCAGTCCAGAGCTGAAAGGCGCTGGGTCATATGAAGAAGACGGGCTGCTATAGGGATAGTCACTGGAGTAACTGCTGTAGGGATTTGGCTGAGAGTTGGCCTGGAATGCAGTCTCAAAGCCTGATTGCTGAGGAGCTGCTGGATTTGGATCTGCAAATTCCGACTGGTTCAGCCTGGTTCATCAGAAGAATAAACACAAATTAGGTACCATAATTAAGCTTTGGTTCTTTACAGGATGAGTCCATATAAAACATTTAGCTTTATCAAAATGGAATAATCACAATAGTTTATTGATAACTTAAGCTAAAGCTACCATACACATACATATATACACATATATATACACACACATATTATATATATATGTATAGAAACATTATTGGTATATGGAAAAGAACGGAATGCAGTCCTTACTCAGGGGGTACATGACGCAGGCGTCCTTGCCGGAGTGCCTCTCCGAGTGGAGAGTTCTCCAGGTTTTTAAACTTTTCTTGACAAATCTTCATGTAAGACACCTTTCCTCCCATATAGCCAAACAGGCCAGCAACTGCACACAAATACATACATTGAGGACGTCTTGTAGACCTAGTACTGCAAACAAGAAATTATGTTTGGTGTAAGATGGTGGTTCCTTTCTGTTTACCCTGCTATAACCCCAAATTCACACCAGACATGACACACATGCAACATGAGATCAGCATAAGCGAAGTGTAAGCCAACATCAATCCAATCCACCCTGACTCTGAATCCGCTCTGTCACGTCACCTTTTTAGGTCAGATTATCAGTTCTTCTATCCTCTGATATTTTCTAAATAAATAGTTTTACAACACATTTAAAACATCACTGTAGACCTGTGCCAAAACCAAGTGTTTTCCCTTGTTTGGGTTCAGGTGAAAGGCTTGTTTTCATCATAACAGTCTTAAGAAGAAAACTCTGCTTATCCTCTATCAGACTGGAGCTAAAAAAAAAAAAAATCTAAAATGTGAAAAAGCATCCACACAAAGAAATCTGTGCAAAAAATCTTTTTTCAATCTTATTATTTTACATTGAGATCATAAAAGCTGCCACCAGACACTGTCAGTACAGTGCAACTACTGCAGCAAGAAGATCAAAACACTGTAGTACATCATGAATCTGAAATGAATTTAGAAAAAAAAATGCTCAATGTAAAAAATAAATAAATAAATAAATGAAACAAATAAAACAAACTCGCAGGACAAAAAGGCAGACATAAGACAGCACATACAGTCGACTGCCACACTGATTAAAGCGGAAGCGTATCTGTCATGTCAGACAGACAATACCTGATTCAACTTGTAGGCTCACGAACTTAAAGAAATAGTTTGTAAAAAAAAACATTATATTTACACCACTTACCCTAGATGTAGTGGATCAGCCAAGACATGTTTAGAGTCCAAAATTCTGCTTCCTTAGTTTACAACTGGAGCTAAGAGGCTAATGTTTCTAACAAACTCCAGAACTCACTAGTCACCCAAACACCCAAATGTTAAAACACATGATTTATGTAAAAATGCATGGTTTAGCACACAGTATGACTGTTTACCACACAAATGAGCAAAACCTCCACCACTACAGAACACCACTTGGACAACACCAAGGCCAGTATTCACAATTCCTTTGTATTTATGACTGTCATTGTCACAAATACTGATTTTAGATCAGTGTATAAAGGTGCTGCCTGTAGTTTTCAGCTATACAGTTATTTTTTATAGTTCACACTAAACTGTACTGCCTTCTAAAACAATGTACAACTAATCATAATGAACTGCAGTCTGAGCAGGTCGAAAAATGGTGTTTGTACAGAAACCATTTAGACTATTCGGGTGACTTTTGAGTTCTATCGTTTGCTAGCAATGTTAGCCCCACTGCTCCAGTTCTAAACTAAAGAAGTAAAATTTGGACTCCAAATGTTTGACTAACTGATCAGTTACCACTTGGATTAAATGGAAAATTGGATATATTTGATTTTTAAAGGTGCAAAACACTGAAATAACCAAGACAGGGGTGCTCCACATCCAGGGTCTGGAGCCACTGATGTAAAATATAGTTCATGTCACTTACTAGCAACTTTTGGTAGGGACCCAAATCTCGGGGATGGAGATAACACTCCTGAAAAAGAGACAGCAGCAGTGAAGGCCACCCAAAACTACTGCAATAAGACAGGCACAAGGTAACACACCAGTACAACAAAGAGAACTGGAGAAAAGGACATGCGCTCACCTCTAGACACCATCACCTGAGTGACTGCAATCGCTATGGCTGACAATGGCAGGGCTAGAACACAAAAACCTTATTATACAGACTGAAACAGACAGCAGAACGCAATGATTCTAAGGTGAAGCGCAAATGAGCATAAATCACCATTAAAGGTGCAAATCACTCACATCGGTAGTAGAAGCTCTCACGATTACACTCTCTAAAGACACGCTTCTCATCCTCAGTGGGAATGTAGGCCGCTCCTAGAGGACCCTAGATGCAAAATAGCAGAAAGCAAAACACAATCCACTTTATAACAGTGAATAAAGTTACTATTAACTTATCAAGACAACACATACACTGTTTTAGTTTTAGCAACCCGAGTCTCCGTGTGAAACGAAAATTTAGAAGAAACAACATGCGACATTTTGGTTTGGATTAAGAGGAGAAGCAGGGTAGCTGGAGGTTTTTCTGGGTAAGGCTCTTTAAGAGACTGGATTAAGTCGACACACACAGACAGGACAGATTAAACCAGCCTCTTCCAGAGCAGGTAGTCGAACTGGAGGTGAAGAAATGTGCTACACGAATCACTACAGCACTCAGCGATGATTCAGACCAGTCATTTTAAAATACTGGAAACAAGAAATATACAGATAGACAAATAGATAGACAGACAGACAGATAGGTAAATAGATAGACAGGTAGACAGACAGATAGGTAAATAGATAGACAGGCAGAGAGATAGACAAATAGGTAAATAGATAAATAAACATACAGATAGATGGATGGATAGATAGATAGACAGATAGACAGACAGATAGATAGATAGATAGACAAACAAATAGCCAGATAGACAGACAGATAGATAGACAGTTAAATAAACAGACAGATAGATAGATAGATAGATAGATAGATAGATAGACAGGTAGATAGACAGATAGATAGATAGACAGGTAGATAGACAGATAGATAGATAGACAGACAGACAGACAGATAGATAGATAGATAGATAGACAGATAGATAGACAGACAGACAGATAGATAGATAGACAAACAAATAGCCAGATAGACAGATAGATAGATAGACAGTTAAATAAATAGACAGATAGATAGACAGATAGATAGATAGACAGGTAGATAGACAGATAGATAGATAGATAGACAGATAGATAGACAGATAGACAAACAAATAGCCAGATAGACAGACAGATAGATAGACAGTTAAATAAATAGACAGATAGATAGACAGATAGATAGATAGACAGGTAGATAGATAGATAGACAGATAGATAGACAGATAGACAGACAGATAGATAGATAGACAAACAAATAGCCAGATAGACAGACAGACAGATAGACAGGTAAATAAATAGACAAATAGATAGATAGATAGACAGGTAGATAGACTGATAGATAGATAGATAGACAGGTAGATAGACAGATAGATAGATAGATAGATAGACAGATACATAGACAGACAGAGAGATCACTTTATTAATCCCAGAGTGAAACTCTTCTACTGCAGCAGTACAAAGCCCAGTAAAGAGCACAACTAGGGCAGAATAAACAGGAGCAAAGGACCGTTACTGTCTTACAGTGTTTACAGATACATAAACATAATAAACGCTGCAGGAACAGCTCAACATCAACTGATATCGGTTTGTTTTCAAGCCCCTGAACGAAGCACAGTAAATTCAGTGGTTCATATTCTGCAATATTAGGTTTAGAAAATGCATGATTAATATTATTATGAATACTCTTGTTGGTGTTGGTGTTGTTAGTGTTGGTGCTGTTAGTGTTGGTGGTGTTGTTGGTAGTGTTGTTGATGTTAGTGTTCTTGTTGTTGTTAGTGTTCTTGTTGTTGTTAGTGTTCTTGTTGTTGGTGTTGTTAGTGTTGTTGGTGTTGCTGGTGTTGTTGTTAGTGTTCTTGTTGTTGGTGTTGTTAGTGTTGTTGTTGGCGTTGTTAGTGTTGTTAGTGTAGTTAGTGGTGGTGTTGGTGATGTTGGTGTTAGTGGTGTTGTTAGTGTTAACCTAGTGGTGTTGTTAGTGTTGTTGGTGGTGTTAGTGGTGTTGTTGGTGGTGTTAGTAGTGTTGTTAGTGTTGTTGGTGGTGTTGTTAGTGTTGTTGTTGGTGGTGTTGTTAGTGTTGTTGTTGGTGGTGGTGTTAGTGGTGTTGTTGGTGTTGTTAGTGTTGGTGGTGGTGGTGTTGCTGGCGTTTCTGGCCACTTGCCTGCGTGTTCCGATGTGTCTGTTGGGGAGTCGGGTTAAAACCCGAAGACGCTTGCGACATTGCTGACTCTAATTCATAAAACAGCCACTACGTCCAGAAAACAAAGCCGCGCTTTAGAGAGTCCTGTGAAAACACGGCTCACACGGGTTTAACAGCTCAGTCCAGTACAGACGCGCAGCGCTGCTGACCACGACCTCCACACACAGCCACCCTAACCTGGAACTGAACTGAGCTTCTTCTTCGCAGAGTTCACTGACGGATGACGGACACAGCGGTGACATAGCGCCGCCTACCGACTCCAAACACTCCTAACACTGCGACTGCAGTTACTACGGCTGTCTTTTTGAAAAGTTAGTTATAGTCAAACCAATACAAAGGAGCACGACGGCGTTTTAGGGCCACTGTTAATAAAAAATAAAAACAGTAGACTTCGAGAATAAAGTCGTAATATTTCGAGAATAAAGTCGTAATATTTCGAGGAGAAGGTGGGCTAACTGTAGGTCTCGGTTGCTGTACTGGTGCCGGAGCTCCACTCACTCCTGTCTCTCTGTGGATCATTTTGATCATCATTCTCACAAACTCAGTTTCCTGCTCAGCTGTTTCTTATCCTAATAACAGGCTGGTGCTGATGTGCAGGAGAGACAGGGAGACTGAGTGTTTCTTTATGGGTGAATCGATATGAAAGTACAACTCCACCAAATTACCGCCCCTCATTTGACACGGGGAGGGGCTGCTTTCCCTCTGCAAAGCCTTTGGCCACAATATTGTAACCTTTCCTGTATTAATGCCACTTTAATGTCGGAATTCCACTCATTTTTTCTCAAAATATTACGACTTTATTCTCAAAGTCTACTATTTTTATTTTTATTAACAGTGGCCCTAACAGTGGCCCTTACAGTGGCCCTTACTGCGTAAGCACATATGGACAAAGAGAAACTATTTGCTGGGGGGAGTGGAGAAGTTATATGTGCATTAAATGAAAACACTATGTTTTGCAGATAGAAATCGTTTTTATAGCCTTTTTGTTTTCAAATGCCATAAAATAGTGCTTGGATTCCAAGATGCAGACTGAGAAAAATGCCTCTTGTTACTCATTTTGCATTTGTGAATGTTGAATTTAGATACAATTGTTGTTTTGGTTTCAGACATTGTGGAACCCAAAATCCAGAGAAATCAACTAAAAATGTTATTAATTACAAATCTCAAATAAAATCAAAAACAAAATCAAATCAAATCACCTTTACACAGGTGTGAAGGTGAGTGCATGCGTAGCCCCCTTATAGAACTTAAATACAAAAAATATAAGAAAACAAAGAAAAAAAAATATATATATATATATATATATATATATGTGTATATATATATATATATATATATATATACACACACACACACATATTAGACTCTAAATATACACAATATACACATTAATATACACCACTGTTGCACTATTTCCAGTATTTCCAAAAGTGTTTGTCTGTTGTACATTAAGGTGCTGCCAACATTTAATGCAAAAGTATTAACAGACAAACACACAATTAACAAAAAACTAAAAGAAGTGAAGGGAGCTCGCAAGACGGCAGCCATACTCGACACCATCTTGGAGCTATGAGTCTCTTAAAAATTCTTGCCAGAATTTATTCATATCATTTTTAAACTTTTGTAAGAATACATTCACTGGGTAATACCTGTGGATCACTTTAAAGGACACTTCTTTATTACTACTACTATCATTACTGCTATTACTGCTGCTGCTAATAATAATAATAAAATTTAATTCATACACATTTGGTTTTATATATTGCTGTTGTCAGAAGAAAACCTTGTATCTCCAAAATGATAGCTTTACAGGAGAAGAAAAAAAATGCTTTACCTTTAATGTAAGTCAATGAAACCAGACTTTTTTCCAAGTCATTTTGGGCCATTTCTGTCGGTCAATTCTTCATGAAATTTACACACAATGTAAAGAGCAACAGGCATTTTCAGATTTTGTCAAAAACTGAGAAACGACAAAAATGGAGTTACAAGGTTTTCTTCTGAAACCAGTGATATACAGATTTAAAGTTTATATATCAGCAAAATCTTATCTGTATTAACTTGACTGTGAATATTATTGATATTGACAATGGACAACCTGCCAAACCTGAGACACACATAACAGGTAAAGATGTGAGTAACAGATGTTTTTCACCAGCTGGAATGTAATTAAGGTAATATAAAACTCTCTCATCCTGCTGACCTGACTACACTTTGGCAGGCATTTTTCTTCTCACCTTTAAAGTTCTCCTTCAGTTCCTTCATTACCAAATTATCTGTGTTCAGTCTTAGGCAGGGCTGCCTAAAGTGTGGCCTATATGACAAAACTGGCCTGTGAGAATGTTTGAATTGGCCCTCAGAAAGCTAATCTAACCCCATTCCCTCGCTCAATGAGGCAACAAACATGTTTAAACTATACACAACTTATTAAATTCATATTTCCTTTTCAAACCACAGTCTTGAGGTATTTGAGCAACAAAATGTTAAAACATTTTAACATCTGGATTTGTAATCTGTCTACTTTATTTGTTTATTGTTTTGTTTTGGCTCTCATGCCCACCACAACATTGCCCACCAAGACAAAATGTTTGGTCACTCATGGGCTAAATGACTGAGCTGTGCTCAGACAAAATGTAGTCTTGCTTTGGTTTGCACCAAATGTGAAACTCTACATAGGGAATAACTGCAAAGCCCACATGACCGGAGTTTCAACAGTCATTGAAAGGAAAATTCCAAAATTTTTACATAATTAAAAGGTTCAGATGTAGGTAAAGTCATTCCGAGTGGTTTGATGTGAAACTTTCTGTTTCATAACTGTTCACAGTGGTGGTGATAGGAACCAGACCTCCAAACTCTTTAAACTCCCTTACAGACACACTGCCTTGTGACACAGTTTTATGATAGTTTTGAAGCAAGAATTAGAAATAAAATGTATTTCAAACACAGTCGTGTTCATGCAGGGCTTTGCGAGGCAAAATACATCTCAATGAAAACTTTTTTGGCCACTATTTGCCGCTGTTGTACCACTATCAACATTACATTTAAAAGCTGGAGGTTTTGAATAGTAAGTAAATTAGCCATATTTGTGCTGTAGACATTGTGACTCCAGGTTCTTACCACCACCACCATTAAAAAGAAATCTGAGTATACATTTCTCTACAACTAACCCCTTCACACCAAACCACACTGAATGACTGTTTACATCTCACTGAATTGACATTGAATGATGTAGAAACTGAAAGTCAGTGTAAGTTCAGTTCAGTATCTTCTTACCAACAAAGCAAGAAAAGCTGCATTTAAGTTGCTCACCGGTTCAACTCAGCCAAAACCTTTCTTAGTAGATATAAACCGGACAGTCTGACTCCTCTTTTTTTGTTCAACTGCCTTGAAAATGTTTTACCTTTGCTTTGGAAGTGCACTTATACAGAGTCACTGTAGTCATTTTTTTTGCATTAAGTACATATATATATATATATATATATATATATATATATATATATATATATATATATACACACAATATAAAGGATAACAAGCACTTGATAAACTGAAAAATGACAAAAATGGAGATACAAGGTTCTGTTCTGACAGCAGCGATATATATATACACACACATGAACATATGTATATATGTACAAATATTATAGTATATAAAAATACATGAAAGAATGCATACATTTTTGTTTCTTTTTGTTGAGGATAAGTGTGATAAATATATATATATATATATATATATATATATATATATATATATATATATATCTATATAGACATACAATATTTATATTCATAGATTTATATGAATATATATTTATATATGTACATAGCCTTGAGGATATACATACACATATACAAATATTCAAATATATATACACATTTACATATATATATATATATATATATATATATATACACACACACACGCACACACACACACACACACACACGCACACACACACACGGAATAGCAGCTATACCAACTTTCACTTTTCTGGGAAGCTTTCTATAACATGCCCTTTTTCTTGTACTGAACTTGATGCCCATAGAGACAACATAAGTTGTCGAACAGTCCCAAAGCTATGAAGGCTGTCCGTCTGTTCTGGTCCAATGAGGTATTGCAACAGTCTTACTCTGACGCTGTACTTAAGGAGGCCTGCTCTTTTTGATGGCTTGACTTTTTTGTGTGCTTTTCCTTCTATATATTGTCTGTATTATGTAATTTCGATGTCTGTGTATTTTGCGAAATGAGAAAATAATAATAATAAAAAAATTCTATCGGATCTGACAAACCCCAAAGTTTTGTGTCTTCTCAGCCAATAGAGAGCAGCTCCTGAGAGGTGAGCTTTGATTTGCACAACACTGAGCCAACAGCACGGCGAGGTCGGAGTGCGTGTGATGGACGCGGCTCCAATGGCGAGGCGAGCGGGGCGGGCGGAGGCGCCGCGGCGCTGACAGTGATCTGCTCCTATCAGAGCGGAGGACCGGCCTGGCCGTTAGCTCGGCCTGCTCCAATCTGACGGACAGGGAGGTGGGCACGCTCGTCGTCCGTCGAGTTTTTTAGGTGTTTTAAACGACAGAAACATTATAATATCGTCAAAGCAGAACGAATAAACATGCATTAGAAGTAAGTAACCATAGAGACCCCCTTATAGGCACCGCACAGAGCCTCACAACGCTCGGGAAACGGCTCTGGACAGAACAAGCCAACGGATTTTTCGAAGCGAGCGGGGAAGCTAAAGCTAAGCTGGCCAGGAAAGCACAGCGACTCTGAGAGGTAAGAAAGGCAGATTTCGAAGAACCTCTCACGGTGTCGACTTGCCACACTGCGCTTCGCCAACCAGACACCAGAATTATTCAGGTGTTGCGTTTGGCTTCTGTTTTCTGTTGAACCTGAGGTCAGTTATGATTACATGTACCCATGGCGAGCTTTCTTCCTGCATTTTAACGAAAGCCCCCCTGTCTCTCTCTCTCTCTCTGTCTCTCACTGTGTCTCTCTCTTTCTCAGTCCTCAATCACTGAGGCTGCTGTGCTCCTCTCTCCCTCAAACTGCATGAACAGCATACATTCAGCTCATTAGCCTGACAGTGTCAGTCCGAGATTCGGCTGAACCGACTCTGTGCTCTCGTTTAGTTTCCCACACTAAAACCCTGGATGTACAGCTAGTTGTGGGTTAGCTAACCTAGCCTGACCAGTTAACTAG